GTGGGTTTATTTACAGTTTGAGAGAATTATATACATTTTGTTGTTACTTTGCAGATTTAGACAATACAAAATGTAATCAACAAATTATGGTGTATGATAGTTTTATGTTCAAGTTCAATATGACTGATTCTCAAAGGCATAAATGGACGAATGCATGGGCCAAGTGAGCACAGTCCCAGGTCTTGTAGACAAAAGCCTACCAAGAGACACAAAACAACAAAAAGATGCAAAATGACCACAAAGAATTGCAAAACAAGATGAAAAACAATGCAAAACCACCAGAAATTGATGTAAAATGTTTTCAAAGAGATGCAAAACTACAAAGAAATTAAAAACCTCTGAAAAGAAACACAAATCAAGCACACAAAAACAATAAATCACACAAAATGGCTGCAAAAAGACAAAAAAAAAAAAAAAAAAATAAAAACCAGCCAGTAAAAGAAACAACTATATACGGATGCACCACAAATACACGCAATACATCTCCAAAGAGAAATGAATATACAAAAAGTGACCATAAACGTGTGCAAGACATTTTTGTGTCTCATATGTAGAAGCAGTCGGAGGCCCATTCTCTCCTTGTCATTGTCTCATTGCCTGTATTGTATGTGACTGAACATATTAACTGTTGTGTAGTACAGATTTTACAAGATGTCATTTTACTTTAGATTGCACCATTCTATTGTATGTTGCCTAAAACACACAGAGAGCCTTTGTGGCAGAAACAAATTACTTGTGTTATCATCCCTGGCCATTAAAGCCGTTTCTGATTTATGATATGGAGACTTTGATACTTACTACACCCCTAACATGAAAATCAGGTTTATTATCTACATTTTATTGATGTTCTTTATGGCATCAACCATTTTATACAGTTACATTTACTTTAATGGCTCTATGTAATATATAACCATCATACACCTGCATCTACAATTATGACAGTTATTAGTTTGAGCTAAACTGTTACTTATACAGTATAATTCAAATCTCAACCGTAGTATCTGCGTCGTCTTGCTTTGTCCCGTCTCTCTGGTAAAATCACCTGTGTTAATGAGGTGGTTACAATTATTTTTTGTCGGTTGACCAACTGATATTTTGCTCATTAAACAACAGATGTGTTCAGCTACAGCTCTGTCACAACAGAACTGAAAGTATTTATGAAATGCCAGGAAGAACTATGTAAATTGTTTAAACAATGCCACAAGGTTTGTTTTCACACCATGTCACCTAAACTAAAATGTTCATTTGCGATTTAAAATGAATGACAAACACTTAAATTACAGTACACCGACCAGCTTCCAGCAATTATCTAAAACACCGTCCACAGTCCAGTGCTTTACCCTGATGACACAGTCCTATGCAATAAAGATGTCTGTGAGTTGAGCAGAGATGAGTTGAGCCTCTCTTCTCTGCTCAGTCTCTCCTTCATCTCGGGCAGATGTTGTGGTCACTGACGAGTTTCTCCATCCTCTTTATTTTGCGTTTGTTCTTGGGCATAGGTTTTTCATACATGCCGTTCCTCAGCAGGTGCTCCTTGCTGTGATGAATCTGAGCACCGTGCTGCAGCTGGAACGAACACAGGGCTTTCAGAGGCCTCAGCAAAACCTGGACAAACAGATGGTGAGAGGAGTAATGAAAAACTATTTTCCACTGCAACCTCTGTCAGCAAGCAGATTTCATTACAACCAATTCTGTTACACCAGTGTGATGACTCCAGAGCTTGCCTGATGAAAACCTCTGATCTAATGTGATCTACAACAAGAAGCTCTGCCACATTATATAGGCCAGTTTGTATTATAACCTTTCCATGAGGTACTACATACAACTACATGTTTACTAGTGAGGTTGTAGTTAGCAGTTGTGTTGCTGTGACATGCATTATATTCAAATGTCTTCCTAATATTTTGTCACCCATAACAGAAACACATCTCAATATGATGCTGTCCAGATCAACATCATTACAAACACAAACATGTAATTTAAACTGAACATTATTTTTGTAAAGGTTGAATTTAAGGCTGAGCTGCTGTACTGAAATGCATTGATTTTTACAGGGGTACCTATGAAAGTGTATACTGTATATATTTCATTATAAAGTCACTGTAGAAATACACTAACCGGCCATTTTATTAGGTACACCTGAACAATTGTATGCAATTCAGTGCAACACCTCAAAATGTTTCAGTTTTTGGTGAAATTGTCATAAATGTATCAGATGTTAAGGCGGAAGTGTTGCACATACATGCATACAGTTGTACAGGTGTATGTAATAAAGTGGCCGGTGAGTGTATTGGACAAATAGAACAGCTGATGCTTCCACACTTCACCTCTTGTATAGTGTCATTCTGCTCCAGGATGGACAGGGCGACAGCAGCGCATTCCAACGTGGACAGGCAGATGTTGGAGGGTTGTGTGCGAATAACATACTGACTACTAGATAGAGTCCTGTTGAGCTGCACCTGGTAAAACAAAGCAGGGGTAATCAATAATGTGGCAGTCTCACTCTGCTGACATATCAAAAGCAATGGCTTTTATGGACTGAAATGATAAACCTTACAATTTTCAGGTTTTGATACTATGGTCAGACGTTTTTCAAACCATGGCCATTCAGTGTTTTTGCATTCAGTAATCATCTCTCCATATAGTAGCTTTCATTATTAGTGGTGGACACCGGATTCAAATTACTCACCTACGCACAGGAAACATCTCCAGGAGATGTTTCTGAGCTACTAGTGTAATAACAACACTTCCTACTGCTGCTAGTCCACATTAAAATGTTCAACTGGTGAAACGCTGAGTGGCTGGAAACACAGTACATTTGTCATCAAGAATACCACTAATCGTTTTACAGGGAGCAATCAAACAACAAGGAGCGGCCACAGTTGGACTAAGAGTTTCAGGTCACAGTCTAATGGGGGTTTTATTGTAACAATATTATTCACAATTGTGTGTGGAGTATTGTGAAACTATCTCAGTCTGTATGCGTGCAGTCAGATTTGTGTGTGTGTCCAAGAATCTGTGAATGTTTGAGCTGATTTGTGAATGTGTTATGGGAACTGCAAGTTCAGATGTGCAAGGGTATTGAGATTTATAGATGAGTAAATGAAACTGAAAGTGTACAGAGCTCTCTGAATGCATACATACTGTAATATTTGTAAACTGCAAGTATGAATGAAAACTATAAATATTTAGTTTCAAGAGCTGGATAAACAGATGAGTTTGATTTCACCTCAGGTCAAAATACCCAAGCCTACTAGGAAAATGAGGGGAAAGAGAAGTAAGGTTAAGGCCTCCATTACACCCATCAGTGGGAGTAATGGAAGAATTTGCCTAGACTCAGGTGGACAGAGCACTCACCTCTATTCCAGCTAGATTTAGTGATTTAGGCTGATAATCAAAGATGATTTCTACATATAAATCTTATCTTGGACAAATGTACCTGTTCTGACAGACACAAATGAGGACAAAGGTTTTTGAACTGTTCACCTGTGGAGAAAATAAACCTTGCTCCCTCCTCTTTTATTGTGGTAACACAGTTGTACACACCTGTTTAGGTAGGTGGAACAGGCTGTTTTGGAGGAACATGTTTTTCGCCTGGCTCCAGGTGCCGTCTATGATGATCACATTATGATTTATAGTGCCTATTGCTTGGTGCTGCAGCAGCTCCTCTAGGTTCTGTGATTTGGGACCTGGGTACAAGATCAGTGTTCTGCTGTCACGACATACTGCAGCCAGCTCTGGGTGCCTGAGAGGAGAACACATGAGAACAAAAACTAAATATATGTGAATATTCAGTGATAGTGGTGTTGTGATATTAATGGATCAGCATGTCAACAAAATATACTCCTTACTTTTCCTCACTGAATTTCCTTCCAACTATGACATTGCATTTTCCTTGTGGCAAACAAGCAGCAAGTAGAGGCACCGTGCGAAGTACTCTGCTCTCCTGTAAATACAGCAGCGGTTAGAAGAGTTGGTTTTTAACCACGAGCCTCTCATACAGATGTTATTAGCTGCTATGTTTGATTAAATAATGAAACTGTGCACACAATAGAGTGTATGCAAACATCTGGTCAACCATGGGGAAATGACATATTTTGCTGATTTTGTAGTGAAAGGAAGTAAATACAACCTTGCAACAAACTGCCTTTAAAAATATATCTTTGTTCATAGATAAAAAACAAAATATGAATACATGTAGACATTAACTGTGGCACATATAAAGGTTTGGTCACCCTACTGAGTCAACAGTTACAGGGTCAGTCTTTTGGAAGAACAAATACTTTTACAGTATTACTTGCAGCCTCACTGTACAATTATACTTTGCAGAAAAAAATGGAAGCAGTTTGAACAAACAACACAACACATGAGCATGATATGAACTAAAACAATTAAGGTCCCTAAGCAGTTGCTGGGTTTAGGGCACTTTTACTAAAGTCAAGACTAGGACCACTTCCTCCAGCTGAGCATACAGGATCATGTTTGATGTCCAAGGTCTCACCTCTGCAGGATGCTGCACTACGTAGAGACACGTGGAGACCTCCAGGGGTTGTGGTGGAAGAAAAGGACAGAGACACACCTTCTGAGGGCGACTAGATGGGAGGAAAGTTGAAGACGTGAAGCTGTGATATCGCAGTTACTTCCCAGCTTATAGCTCCATCTCTGTTTCAGCTGGTCTTGAGCTTTCTGTAATGACATAAATCTGTTCCCTCGTTAAAGCATGCCAGTTACTGCAGGAGATGAAGAAGGAGGGGGCTCGAAAGATTTCTCTTCTACCTGGTCCAATCAACCACTGTAACTCAACTCGGCTAGCTAGCACTAGCTTCATTGTAATTCAGCTCACCGGCACCGTGAACACGTCGGTCTTTTCTCGCCGTCTTCTACCGGGAGGGTAGCTAGGTCGCTAAACCCGTCAGCTATTCCATCCTCCATCGAGGAGCTGTCGGGGGTTTCTGGTCCGCTTTCTCCGGGAATTGCTAAGGAACGAACACCTGGGGCGCTTGCCATGATGGTGTTAGCAAGAAGCTAACTTATCAAAACTCTTCTTCTTCTTCTTCTTCTTCTCCTTAGGTGTTTAGCGGTAGTGTAATTGTTGTAGAATTACTCGATTAGACTGAATTGTTTAATTAGCCCTGGGTGGTTTAAAACTCATGAGTGACAAAGAAAATATATTTGAGAAACTAGAAACGGCAAATAACAAATTGTTGCTGATTTTCCCCTCATCCAATCACTGCAGCCCTAGAAGCTATGACATATGCAGTCTATCCTACTGTACTTCTATGACATCGTTTCGGTGAGTAGATGGTACGCTATCAACTCACAGCTGCCGCCTGTCGATGTGGAGGAACAAGGTGATTTGAAAAGGTTAGACAATATGAATAATTTTACTGGATGAACACTGGGAGTCGCCAAAGGCCATTTAAACTGGGGGATGAGCTAGACATGTACAGTATAACACAGTGGACACAGAGGACACAAGCCTTAAAACGCAGCCATTTATATACCAAAACACACCTGAGCTCCAGATGGGACCTTTGGATTCAGGCCTGGAAGTGCCAGCATCTACAAATAATGCTTAACATAAACCTGCTTTAATAATCACGTGTAGGTTAAATGCTGCACTATACAGTCTATAAAATCTTGTGTTCAGCAGTTTGACATTTAAATGACAAATAGCTGCATATTCATAGATTATAGATTTTTCAAAGACGGAGGAGGACTAAATTTATAGCAATTTTAAAATTTTTCATTAGGGTAATTGGAATTTTTTGTGGAAAATTGTATCAAACACAAAGTAATAGTTAAACCAGACATAGCTTACAATATGTCCAACTACAGCTTCTTTTTGATTGCATGAAAAACACATCTTCTCGGTCATCATCTGGTGTTTTGCTCAGGGTTTTGTTTGGATAATACTGGACCAGGTGCAGACAGTTAAAATGTTTGTTTTAATGTAGCATAAAATGGAAGTTATGGTAAGCTTCAGAAACATTAAGGCTTAAACAGAGTTACTGGGTATAAAGTTCTTGTGTGAATATGCACAGATTCTGTTTACGAATGAGTACACAGACTCCAAATTGAGTCAAGGTGTCAGGTTAACAGCCGGCAAGGCTTATTTATAGCTGAAGATCCAAAGACTCTGACATGAACACCCATTTTATTCATACTTGTGACCCAAACCTCTCTTTTCAAACATGCTCTTCATGCACTCTTGCCAGCCATCTTACACTGGAGAGACTGGGTTATCCTGTGCAATAGTGTTTTGGATAAGACTTATTTTTTAATTCATGCAGTATATGTAGAGCCAAATACACTTAATAAAAACTAGTCTGAGATATACATTTATACTTTGTAAGACCAAATCTCAGTTAAATGATGAGTACTTCTACTGTCATTTTAATGTCATGAATGAACGACACAGCAACAAAAGCACTTGAAATTAAACTCTGAAGATACTGGAGCCAGACTAGAGTATTATACACTGTCTTTTGTCTTTAGCTTGTTCAGTTGTTGAGGCAAGTGTGCCTCCTTGCTTTTCTGGATTAATCTCTGTATTAGCTGCCTCTGATGTCTTAATATCTACTTCTTCTGGTTTAGTTTCTCTTAGTTTCTCTTCTTCTACTGTTGTAGGGTCAGTCTCCTCAGCTGCAGCAGGTTTTGTGTCTCTGACATTTATTTCACTGCTGTCTTTTATACTTTCAGTTTGTGAGGGCCCAGTTTCCACTGCAGACAATTTGTTGTCAGATAAAGAAACTTCAGAGGAGGGCTGCAACATTTCTTCTCCATCTCCATCTCCCTCATCTGCAGTCTCCGCTGGTGATGCTGTCTCTTTCTCCTCCTCCCTTGTTTCTTTTTCACCAGCCTCTTTCTTTTCCTGCAGAATAACATCAGCTGGAATCAGAGGTGTTAGGTCCAGACATGTCTTAGGGGTGGATGTTGCCTTTCTCCTAGGAGGGGCAACTGGCTTTTGCATTTCTGAATTTTGTTTCCACAGTTCCTGATTTGTATGTATGCTGACATCATCTAGGGTAAGATCATCTGTACTTCCCCAGTCTGGTTCCTCTGAGGGAAACTCAAAGCTTGAGATGCTAAGTGGATCTGCTGGGATTTCAGTGGCTTTTTCTGCTGTTATGGAGACACTTTTGTTTGTCTTGGGTTTACTCATTGTACTTGACTGGGTTTCATCCACTTCTGGTGACTGAGGGAAAGGAGCCACATCACATGGAGAAGAACTGGCACTGGACCTGAAGAAGTCTGTGAACTCCTCTGTGATGGGCTCCTCACCTGCTTCAGGCTTTGAAATAAAATCACCAAAATCATACAAATCTTGGCATAATGTTCGTGGACCTTCCTCTGGGTGTTTTTCTTTATCAGTTGGTTCTTCCACCACAGGTGTTTCATCTATCAGGACATATTTCTCCAAGTAACCCCTGGCCTCTCGGTCTGAATGCTGGCTGTGGAAGGACTTCTCAGAGGTCACACTGTCCGTGTCCTCTTCTTTGTTCCAACTGCCGATTGCTTCCTCATACAGGTCAGTGTAAAGGAAGGCCATGGCTTTGGGCTCCTCCAGCAAAATGGGGTTAATAATTTTTGGGGGACCTTCAGGTAGGAAAATTGGGGTCAGGATGCCCTCTTGGCTTCCAAATAAAGTCGAACCGCTTGGTTTTGAAGGTAGCTTGGAGGGCACTCGTCCAGCTGCTCCACCTCCATCCTCTCTGTCTAGACTCTTGATGAGGTCTGTGCCACCGTAGAACACTTCATCTAGAAGCTCACCGGTGATTTCCTCTATACTGATGGTGTCTGACTTTTCATTATCCACAGTTGTTTTAGTGTTGGTGGCATCTTTAGATGGCAGAGATTTCTCTGTGTCCTGGCTCTCGGTGGTACCTTCTGCCTCTGGTTCCACCTGCCCCTGCGTGATCACAGCAGGACTTCCTGGAGCCTGAGCATCAATCAGGGTGAATGGCTCAAAGTAGTCCACATTTCCAACAGCTTCTCTGCCTGGACGTCTAGCCACAGGAGCCCCTGGTGGATCCATTAGACATGGACCTATAGCAGGTGAGGGCTTGACCTGGTCACCTCTTGGTGCACCTGACTCTGTTGGAGCATATGTTGAAATCAAGAGCTCGTTATCCAGAATCTCGTCACTGGCTTTAGGAACAGGGCTCTCCTCCAGATAAGATAAGTTGTCCACCATCTCTCTGCTCTCCTCTTCGTCCACAGTAATCAGTTTAGGAGGAACAACAATGTTGAGGATTTCCAAGCCTTCAGACACTAAGCTGAATAGCCGTTGCTCTTTATCTACCAGAGGATCTGTCAGTTCCTCTTCATCGCCTTCAGTTTTCACATTTGGCTGCGAGACTCCCACTAATTCCGGCCTTCCTGATATGTTCTCAGAGCTTTCACCAAGGAATTCCCGTTGCCTGTCTGCCTTGCTCTTCTGTCCGCTTACCCTCTCCTTCATTCTCTTCTGTCTTGAGATTAGCTCATCATCCATGACAAAGACGATCTTTCCTGCTGGATGAGACCCAGGTGTTGCAGGCCGTACTGCAGCCAGAGAACTGAGGTCCCCAGCAGGGTTTCCAGTTTCAGATGCCCATGGTGTGGTGCAACGACTGGGGGTCGTCTCCCAGGCGATCCCACTGTCCTCGCTTTGCATAGTTACCATAGAGAAGGAGGAGTCCATCATCAAACACTGCATCGTAGGCCGGACCCCGTCATCGTGGACCGCCTCACGTAAACTGAAGGCACAGTAACACACCAAAAAATATGGCAGAGGTAAAGTTACACAAACTCTGTTCTAATTTTTCCCAAATGTTTGACAGATGCTTGTTCTCAGAAGCAACTCTCAGTTCTAGGTTTCTCATGTGTTTTGAAGTTCGGCCCATTTGGGTCAGCATTTCTTACACTGGGCCTCATGCAGAATCATTTTTGTATTCTTATGCCTTTTCATCTGTACATGTATTCCAAGATACACAATTAGCTGATTATGCTGATCTGAATGTGTTCTTGTCCTGTTCCTCTCCTCTTGACAGCCTTTCACACTCAGCACACAAACTGAATGTGGCTGGTAGTTTATTAGATACAAGCCAAAACTAATGCAGTCCAATAAAACTGTGCTACAGTAAATCTTCCTTCATGAAGGTGATAAGTTCAGCTGTTGTTCAAATTGTTTTAGAGATGTTTTGGAGAATATATTTGTGGATGGATGGATGAAATGATAGAAATGTCATACAGTTCAACAGCAGCCTCCCATGTGACCATACAGTTGAATCAACACCTTTCTCATCAGTTTCAACACAAATTATAACCTTAATGAAGGATTTAATGCCATCAGTTTCAACACAAACTGAACATTATAACCTTAATGAAGGATTTAATGCAGCACTGTTTTTAGACTACAAGGTGTACCTAATAAACTGGCAACTGAGCGCACACCCAAACGCTCACAAGGCAGTGGTGCTGAATTTCCTCCATTAGTTCACCATTTCAAATGGAATGATTATTGCTGATATCAACTATTGCCACTTAGCTTCTCGGGACTTGTTTAAAATGAAAAACTGAAGAACAGGAAAACTAGAAAGCAGACCACGTCACGGAGAAACCTTTGAGCATGAGCCACGGTAACATCAGCACATTACAATCACTGGTTTGTACCTGTTTTGAAGGTTCTCCACTTCGTCACTGGCATTGAGGTTTTGCTGACTAATATCTTCAGGATGCAACACTGTCATCTCAGTGTCAACATCTGAGCGTGCAAAATCTTCTGTTCCAGTGTCCATTGTTGCAGTATCTTGATGAATCTGCTTTAGCCTCTCACCATAACTCAGCGCTGCTCTGTTGATCACATTCTAAACAGGCATGCTTGAGTTTTCATGCTCAGCGTAATCTTGAAATAGAAAACTAGTCTTCCAGTGTTTCATGTGAAGCATTTGCAGCATGTTCACATTGGCTGAACCCTTGCATTTGGCATATGCAATAAAACAGGTTAATCTGAAGTTGCAGCCTGTCACTAATATCAACTGTTAGGAAAATGCATCATCATGAGGTAAATGTCTCTGCTGTATGTTTCTTGCCAGGTCTAATTTTGTTCTGGTAGCAGAGATCCAATGTCACAAGCCTGTCCGCAAGTCAGTTGTGGGCATTTAAGAGTGTTCAGAGAGTTCACTTTGGTTTTTAGTTGTGCATAAACAACTCCTATGTTAAACGTTTACAGCTGACAGTGAACTAGTGGTGAAACTCAGTGGGTAAATACCCAGTCTGAGCACCAACACCTCCACCTTTACTAGCCAGTCCCTGTAATAAAAATATTTATGGACTATTGTACTATTTTAATCTTAAAAAATCCACCATTTTTGTATCTGAAATGCATTTACTCTTGATCTGTGCTCCTATGAAAATGTCAGCCTTGCACCTGTTTATGTCAGTCTTGCAGTGCGACAGGGATACCACACAGGAAATAAAGACTGGGGGAGTTTTGCTTGTAGTCAGCGCGTTGTATCTGAGCAAAAGTTGTCCTAACCTGCTCAATGGATATGACAAACTAATAGTGTATCGGTGTCCTTAATGTAACATCAATCACTAATTTCACTTTGTTTCACTGCAAGACTAGAACTCAACTTGTTTAAGACAAGCCCTAGATACGACAAACTAATAGTGTACCGGTCTCCTTAATGTAACATCGATCACTAATTTCACTCTTTTTCACTGCAAGACTAGAACTCAACTTGTTTAAGACAAGCCCTCCCAACAACAGCATGCTGTGTGCTGAGGTTATAAATAGAACACAGCGTTAAGGCTTTTTAAACCTTTCTGGTTTGTGAACAATCCAAAAAGCAGTAGCTCTTCTGGCTGCGTCCTGCTGGGCACATGTCCGATGTTTGAGTTCAACTACACCAAAAAGAGGTTCTGAAAACAGATGTGTTTTTCATCTTCCTGCTTTGAGTCTCTCTTGACTGAAAACAAAATTACACAGACTAGCTTTAACTGTTTATCACGTTTTATCAGATGATATTCCAGTTTGTAAAATGGTGGAAAACCATTTTTGTCCTACAGTTTCAGGTTATGGGAAGCTCAGAGTTTCTGTAATGAGAAAGCAACTATAGTCTACTGGTTGGTTTCCAGGGATGGGGGCTGAGGAAATAATGAAAATACCACATAAAGTTGAGGTCAGTAGGGGCCCAGCATGACATTTTGCCCATAGGCCACTTAGAAGGTTAATCCAGCCATGAGTTTAGCAGATTGTAGTAATAACTTCATATCTTTTTAGCCCTGCTTATGTGCTGTTAAATTAATTGTAATTCAAGTGAAGATTAAAAAACAAGTTTACGTTAGGGATATAGCCTCACGGTAAAAACACGGTTCTCTCTTTAAATAGCACTTAAATGAAATTAATAACACACAGAAACCTATTAAAAATACAACAGGCACAGACAAACATTCTATAGTCATTCAAACTAAGTAGAATCTAAGTGAGAGCCTCCCCCAGGCTGGTTTAGCAGTGACCTTCTGTTGTGAAATGCTCCTGTGATCAAGAAAGAACAACACGATGGCAGGATTTTAATTTGCGTTTGTTTTACTATAAACTTTGTGTCTTTAAGCATGTGGTATAATCAACATTTAAGTCTTATTCAAATGTTTTAACCTTTCAAGCTGCAGTATTCAGAATTTTCAAGATGATCAAGTCACCTTTAAAATCATTCAAGTTTCCCAAATGTACCCAAACCAACAACAAGCCCTTAAATTTTGTTCAGGTGTACACACTGTAGTCCTCTTAATGTCACTGAATGTTTGGCAACAGTAAACCCCACACACCAGAACAAAAGTACCGCTAGTTAGCTACCAATGATGCATCTTTGTACCAAAGGCAACATCATCTTAAATTCTAATCTGTACATGAAAACATCATTTGGCAAAAGAAAAAGAAAAAAGATTCTCTGCAAATCTGGTCTCCTGCTATGTTTTCAAAAATTATTTTCCAAAAACAAAGTACCTCAACAGCCACGTACCGGCCGAAAATAAGACGTAAAGAAAGATCTTTGCTTTTGTACAACTTTCCTCAAAATCAACCTTCAGTTACTTTAGTAATAAATTAACAAAAAAAAGGACTTCAAGTCACAACAGAAACAAGAGGGGAAAGAAAACATGATCATCTGATTCACACACACACACACACACACACACACACAAGTGCACTATGCATTTGTTCTAGTAGTACTCATTAGAAAAGGTGTTTAGAAAGAAAACTTGTGAATAAAATCCCACCTCGCTTGTGATCTGTCCAAGAGAAGAGTAAAGTTACCTGAAAGTGAGAGTGGAAAAGTGTTGATTTACCCTCCGATGCTCCTTTTGTGTATTGCTCATATATTGTAGAAGAATATAAGACATAATGTAGTTGTCCTCGGCCCGTTTTGCAGGTCACAGGAGGAACAATGGTAGTTTATCCCTTCATCACCCTCCACGGTTCAAACTTTAAAAAAAAAAAAAGATCAATCTCCAAGTGCAGAAAAAGCTGGAGTCCTGCACATCTGGCTAGAAACTGTTCATCTGGCTGATAATGACCATTAAGTGGCTGAAAAAGTGAGGAAGAAGAAAGGAGATGGAGAACAATCGCCAGCTCCAGGCGACAACAAAACGCACCAAAGCAAAGCTCAAAAGTCTTAATAAATGACGGAGCAGAAAGCAAAAATTAAACAGACAAAAAAATTCCAATAAAAAAAAAAAAAAGAAAGAAACCAGAGACTCTGTGTCGTCAGAGTCAAGAATCATCTTGAGTGGCGCAGAGGGAAGGCATGGCGCAAGCAAAGCCCTCTTCACTTGGCTGTAAACGACAAGGATGTAGAAAAATGTATGTGATTGATGCATAAAGTTGTGTGTAAACATATTGTTTTATGCGTATCGTATACATGTAGGGGAAAAAAAAAAATTCAAGTTGTTGTAGGTGTCCATGAGAGTGTGAGCCGATGTGCAGGTGATTTCTCCCGGCTACTGTCTCTCTCTCTCTCTAGCTACCTTCGATGAGCTTAGCCAGCGTGTCCCGCAGCTCGTTCAGCTCGAACAGCTTACTGTCCAGCAGCTCCAGCAGGGAGCGCAGGCTCTTGTGAAAGGCTTCCCTCTCCAGCTGGATGCTCTCCAGACGCTGCTCCAGGTCGCTCAGCTGGGCCTCCAGCACCTGGTTCCTCGACTCCGAGTCCTGACGCAAACCACAAATTAGACACTTGGACATTTAGAGGAAAAGCTGGTGGATCAGGAAATCCAGGTTTTCAAAAATCTTCCAGAATATGTTATTTATACAGTTTGGGCAAGTCTGTGTTTTGTTGATTTTTGAAGCGAAGGAAAAAGGAAATTAAATGTTTCTTTTAAAATAATTGTGACCATTTATTTATAACTTCTTACTACCTACTGGCTGACAGGTCTGTGTAGTAACAGCGTTTGCACATTTTTCAGAGGTGGTTACTACAATGGACAGGAAGCCTAAGACCTAGCACTTTATATAATGGTACATATTTGTAACTGTATCTGGTCACAAGTTTAACCAGATGTACCTACCTGTGTGGGATACACTGACTACAGTAACGTTACTATACGATCTTATTGTGGATTTATTGTGAAATTGCGGCTTTTCACTAAATGGGAGACGTCGTTACCGTCAGAGTATTTCCAGCTCGTTATTCTCACTCAGCTGCTCATGTCTCCGGCAGCACGGGCAACAACATGGGCCTAATGGGCTGCATGTGTTTCTGTAGGCACAGTGCTCTACTCACCTGTAGTTGCTGTGTAAGGGAGTCTTTCTGAGACCGAAACTCATTGGCACTCTGCACCTCTTCTTTAAGTCTCTCTAACTCCTGCAGGTAAACAGAGAAAGACTAAATATTAAGATCACATACGACGGCTGTGTGGACTGCTTCTCAGCGTGCTAACGTCTCCAGGTAACACACCTCCTCTTTGGCCTTCAAAGCCAACTCCAGCTCTTCTATCATATGGTTAAGTTCAGTCTTATGAGATTTGATCACTGTTGTTTGGCTGCTCACACACTCCAACTCAGTCACCTGGAAAACAAAATAAATCTTTCTCAAGACATGGTAAAAAAAAAAAAAAAAAACTTTTAACAAATCTGATGTTTTCTCTGGATAGCGATTACCCGTTTGTGCAGCCTCTCGGCTTCCTCCTGATAGGCTGCCAGCTGCTGTTTCCACTGTTTGACGTTGGCTGTGGACTCGAGCAGAGCCGCCGTCAGTTTGGCATTGTTCCCCTTAAGTGCGGCAAGCTCCGCCTCCCAGTGCTTACTGATGCTGGATGAACTGGAAAGATGCGAAGAAGAGAAAGAAAAACCGCTGCTAATAATTATCACTGATTATATTCTCAGCCTGAGGTAGTTGGGCAATTAATGAAATACATTTGACATATTCAGTGAACAGCTGTGACCTACAAGGCGAAAAGCATTTTAGGTTCACTTTTCAAATAAGTTGTCCTGCTGCACTAATATCTCCTGAAGCTCTGCGGCATCTCTGGGAGTGTGATCAGACAACGTGAAGCACAAAACTATCTCCACTCATTCAGTAGGTTGTAATTAATAGGAACCGTGTGTGCAGTGTTCTAATGTGCTATCCAGAGGCCTGGGGACCAAATTAATAATGAATGACTGCGCTCTGTGCCAATTTAACTTTAAACCAGCACCCTGGGAGTCACTGACAGACAAGAGACCCTGACAATCAGGCTGCTCAATGTCATAATTTGTATCTGTGAACAATTACAAATGTTGTTTAATAAAGAGGAAAGTGAGGAAAACACAACTGTAATAAGACTATATTTAATTATATCTCTGTCCCTGGGAGTGTCAGAGTTACCTGGCTGCATTTTACCTGTGTGAGAAGGGCAGTGCATTCTGGGAAGGATCTGCTCTAGCTTCAGTGTTTTGAGGTGTGTCTGGTGTGACTCTCTCGTCATCTGTACCGTTGATGCTCTCTGAGGTCAAAGGTGACTGTAGATCGCCTGGTGCCGACTCCTGATTTGACATGTTATTGAAACAGAAAACATTTTTAGAAAAAGAAGTTCAGTTTTCTGAGGGAACAGTTCAGCATTTGGAGAAATTAGCTTATTTGCAGAGATACCACTCTTATGTCTATAAATACATAGCTAGAGCCAGGAGACATTAGCTCAGCTGAGCATAGAGACTGAATGCAGAAAAAGGCTGATGGCCTGGCTTTGTTCAGAAGTTAGAGAATACACCTAGCAGCGCCTCTAAAGCTCAGTAACTAACACACTCTGTAATCTGTACAAAAACAAAAGTGTAAAAAACTGCATATTGTGGTTTTACATGGGATAAGACAACTCTAGCTTGGTGTTTTTAACATTTCAGCTTGTGAACATATACAGAAAGAAACATACCATGTTAATTAGGTAGCTCTAGAGGTGCAGGTGGGCAGACTTTCATCAAGGCTCACTGTTTTCCCTTGCTTCCAGCTTTTATGCTAAGCTAAGCTAACCACCTGATGCGAGTGGTTTCTCATAAGAGTGTATTTCCCAAAAATTTCTAACTGTTTCTATAAGTCTGGATTAGGTGACAACAAATCTTGTGTGATGAATTCTATGCTCTCAAATTTTAACAGGACTTTCTTCTGTTGTTAGAGATCAGGAGCCTTTCGAGTCTCTAAACTATGAGGACAACAAATGATTAATTTAAATATTTAAATCATGAAACTGTTTCTTCAAAATTTTGGCTGAGGTGCAGCAAATCTGTAACTATACAGAATCCATCGATTGATTGTTCTGCTTGTGAAAGTGCTGAAAATAATGATAAATGTCCATCCAAATGACCCAGAGCCCAACGTGACACACTGTTCAACCAACAGTCCAAACCTCCTATCATGACATTATTACCAGCAACATTTCACAGCTGAATCTGTCTGCAATGAGCAGTGATTCACACAGGCTGGCACTTCACTCTGGTGTCATCAGGAGTCTTGTCATTAACACAGTCACACTGAATTAACACAGACACTACATGAAACTTAATCCAGTGTAGAACACATTAGTCCTGGTGGTTACAGGAGGCAACACTATCATCAGATGACAGGACATTTTCTCTGAGTATCAATCTGTACTTTTGGTTGTCTGTTCAGTCAAACCTATCGGTTTTACAGACCACTTTGAGCCCGAGCTTATGTGCTAACTTTACAGTGTGTCCTTAACACACTGGGCAACTGTGGTTTAGTTGATAGAGCGGTCGGAGGTTCGAATCACGGTGCCTGCAGTCCACATGTTGAAGTGTCCATGGGCAAGACACTGAACCCCCAAGTTGACCCTGATGGTTAGAGCCATCGGTTGAGTTGGCGCCGCAGATGGCTGCCTCGGTTCTGTACTGGAAACAAATTCCTTGTGTGTAACATACTTGGCCAAATAAAGGTGATCATCTTTTTTCAGATGAGTCATTTCAGAACTGAGACTCCATTTTTATGAAAACAGTTTTTATTTGTGAGTGGCAACTGGTCAAACATCCCTAAATGTAGCAGACTGACTTTTTGAGAGCATGAAGTGTAGGATCATCTGTGGGAGGTTTGTGGGAGATGGGGATCCTCTGGTTCTTAGGATAACAGATGAGGTTGTTAAAGAACAGGGATGGCAGGGATGGATGACAGGGATGAGCCAATAAGAAAGACTGTCTTATTATACCAAAACAGTGCCAGCTGTATCCATCAGAGCGCTAACACACTTTAGTGAACATTTTCTTTCTTAATGTCCAACAGAGGAAACGCAGCAGGAGAGATACCACAGGGGAGGGTGCACCACCAACTCAGTAAGACTGGGAAAAGTCACTGGTCAAAGTCAAAAATACTTTTTCTCCAGTTTTCTTTTACCTTCTTTTTACCCGGTTTGTTGACTGACAACACATTCCGTTTTACAGCTCCAACCTGAGGAGGAATGAGGAGGTACAACAAGCCACAAGGTGTTAGCTCAGTGGCTGTAACAGGATAATGCTGAGTGGAACATAAAGCAACTTATCACAACACCTGTAAGCGGTGCTAAAGGTAAAGTTGTACATGATTACATTAATAAACAGGCACCATCTTGTAAATCGGTATGCATCACCTCATTATACATCCATGTGACGGATCAACTGATTGCAGGAGCAGGGAGTTCCTACTTTCTGACATTACTAATGTAACTTCAGGACAGATGAGGCTTCTTTTGGTCACCTTGTGGACATGCAGCCTGCAGGCCAGGTAGTGTTCGTTTCTTTCTACCTGCAACTTGATGTAGACTGTGTTGTTCTCACTACTGCTGCCAGGAGCTGTCTCACTGAAACTTCATGTGTCATGTTAGCTACCTAGAGCCACCAGATGCCTGGAGAGTCGTCAAAAACTCCACATGTAATCTAGCACGACACTGTGGCTGTTAAGTTTTCCCAGCCCCTGCTGCGTGCACGTGCTCACCTCTTGTCAACTAAAATCCATTTGTATGGTTAAGTTGACTTCTTCAAAGACAGATCCAAGTGCAAAATGCATGAAGGACACAACACTGGTGAAAGAGTTTGTTACCTGGGAGGGAGTGCTGGTGAGCTCCATCTTCTCCTGAGACCTCTCCTTAGCCAACCGTGCTGCCTCCTTGAATTCAGCAAACTTATCTGCAAACTATAATAATGAGAGTAATTAAAACCCTATATGTCTGAATACAGGACAACCATGACTATCTGTTTTTGAGCATAAGAAACACTTTCTACCATCGTCCTGTTGGGTGTGTTTTCCTGAGATATCAAACCGTCATCACTGAAGCCTCTTCTCTCATATTGGTGAAACATGACTTACAGTAATACGTAAAACTCGCGTCTTTGTATGCTGTATCAGTCACAGATTAACACTCCCTCATGCTGACTCTTGAAGAGGTCAGAATGGGTTTCTCTGACAGTTCATTTTCTGACTTGTGAGCTGTGACAGGTGTAATTCTTGGCTGTTTGACAGACCTTAATCTATGGGTCATTTCTGCACTAAACATGTCAGGAAATGTCTCAAACTTGTTTTCAGTCGTTATGAATTTAATTCCCCATAGACAGGAAATCACGTTTAGTACTGATAAACTCTGAAAGACTCGTTATGATCAGACTGAAACCACTCACTAGCCCAGCAACATTATAGCTATAAACAATTCATAATGCAACACCACTGGTACCGTCTTCTTTTAGAAATAATATCTGATGTAAACGTCTAGCCCTATATAACCCCAGTGTTTCAAGCCTAATTTAAAAAAAAAAAAAAAAAGCACTGTCCTATATGATGCTTCAGCCGAGCACATGCACACTTCCATCTCTCGGCATTGCACTGCAGGTCTCTGTCCTGTGCTCTCACCTTGACCAGGTGGCTCTCAGATGAGAAGCCGAGGCCGTAGACAGTGTTGGCCCTGCTGTCGGCCCACTGACCAAACTTCTGCGATGTCTTGGTGAAGGTCATGTTGGGGGTGATGGTGCTGTTGATAATGGCCTGTAGAAAATAAAATGCACGTGACTGAGCCAGACAGTAACATGTCAGGTTCAAAGGTAGAAATATAGATATTGTTTGTTAAAGCAGCATTGACTGGGGGAAACAGTTCGGGCAGTAACTGGGTCAGCTGCCTTGGGCTAAAACAGCTGGATGCTGATATCTACTAGGACCAGGGTGTGTGTATGTGTGTGCATGTTGTACTGTCATGAGTTTGCATCCCTACTGTTTGGTAAACAGGAAACAATCAATGATGAGTTCTAATGTTATTGATCTGTGTGGCAGGACGAGAGGTGAGCACAGGTGGTTATGACAGCTTTAAAAAATGAACTGCTGCTACTGTCTCTCACATTACTCTTATGTAAGATGCCTTAAATACATTTGAGTGAAATAGCAGCTGACAACTTGTTTTTCTGGCGCTTTCTACTGCGTCACATGGCTCTCATCATGAAACTTTAAGAAATGCTAAGATACCAATACACAGACCAGAAATTCAGAGGACAGCAGGTGAACTAATAAAAACAAACAAACAAACAAAGATCTGTCTGCTCTGTGTTTGTTTTGTTTGTGTCTGCTGAGAGGACTTACTGTTGTCTGGATGATAAAGCCCTCCAGCACCAGCCCACCCGAACTCTGCTACTGGCAACAGCTAACTTACTGGTTGAACAACAGCAGCCATCCACTCTTACATAAACTATGCTAACTCCACCCCTGCAGCTCTCCCAACACTAAAATAATCACTGTCACATAGATATGACAAACCCGACGACATAAAAAGCATAAAGAAGCTAGGCTGAGCCGAGAGGCGGAATATGTTGACAAACATGCTGATCCAAATGTTTCTGATTGTTTGCGATGATTAGATAAAACTGTACCGATCCACACTGGCCAAACTAAGAGGACATACTTTCTGGGGTGATGAATTTGTATATTTTTGTGTGTCTGAGCAAACAATCAATGGTAACATGATGGCAAAGACAAAGAAGACCAAACAATTCAGCCTTTAAAATGGAAAAAAAGACATTTAGGTTTTATGAGGACACTAATATTTCGAGCCAAAATGCAGGACAATATCGATTATCTATACCCCTTATTCCTGAACAGGGTCGTGGGTGGGGGCTGGAGCCAATCCCAGCTGGCACTGGGCGAGATACGGGGTCCACCCTGGACAGGTCTCCGAACTATCACAGGGCTGACATGTAGACAAACAACCACACACACTCACACTCACTACTATGGGCAGTTTAGAGTCAACCTAAGCTGCATGTCTTTGGACTGTGGGAGGAAGCTGGAGTACCCGGAGAGAACCCACGCAGGCAAAGAGAGAATATGCAGACTCCACACAGAAAGCCCACGGGTCGGCCGGGACTCAAACCCGACAGCACTAACCACTGCACCGCTGTGCCACCCAGGACAATATCTAGATGCTATTTACAAGTATACCTATTACATTTCAGAATTTAGCTGGAATGAAATATGAAATACACAAACATGGTTCTGAGTGCTTTACTTGTGCGCACCTTAGACCCATCCAGACTGATGATTCGGTATACGTTCCTCGTACTGTCGAAGAAGTAGGAGACTGTGACAGCGTGTTTACTTGTGGGAACCCAATTCTTCTTGGTGTTTGGGTCGATCTGGAAGACGTGAGCCCGTGTACTAAAGATGGGCTGCTCTCTACACACAGAGAGGGGAAGGAAAGGGAGATAGAAAATCAGTAGCTGGTTATATTATAAGCCTCAACTCTGATGTTGAGCTGTCTTAAATATAGTGTGTGCACCTGAACACTGGCCTGTGAGGAGGGATTAACTGATTTGATTACACTAAAACCAATTAATAATAAAACCAGACTTGCAGGTATTGCAGGAATCCTGTCACAAAGCAAGGCTTGGCTGCAACTAATGACTATTTTCATTATCAGTTATTTTGCTGATTTACTCAAGTATCGATTAATCATTTAAGGGGATATTTACAAAAGCCGTCAAGTTTTCATCACGTATTTTCCTATATTGTCAAATATTATGGCAACACAATTTTTTTAATTGAGCAGCGTAAGAAAAGGAAGTGTTAGTACTGAGGATTGCGATGAACTAGAAGAAGGTGGAAGTTTCCCACAACATCCAAAATTCACTTTCCTGCTGCAGACTGGATGAAAACAAGTGTTTTATGTGCTGAGGTACACGTACAAGTGTAACACAAAATTTCCCTCATCATGTTATGTTGTAAAGCTGCACAAGAGCTGATATCAATTCACTCTGAATCAGCAAAAATGACTATATTAGAAATAAAATTGTCCATAGAGCAAAAACCAATAAATGTAAAAATATTAACGTTAGCTCCATAGTATGGACTTGTTGCAATGTTCCAAAAATCCAACAATCACTTCATTATGTGGAGTTAATGAACCTCTGCAGTCAGTGAGTGATGAAGGCAATGCCATTAAAACTGATTTATGGTCAAAATAAAGCCTTACACAAGCTGGACAAAACAGTGTTATAAAATCATACTGCAAGGAGTTTAGCAGCCTAAATGATACTTACTCTGCTGTTTCACATGTGTATTTTGTCTCAAAATACCATAGTACTGGGAATAACTTGAGGTACAGTAGAACTGAAAGTGATAATGGTAAAAGTGATGTGTTGTGCTACACTGAGGAAATATGACTGAGGATTATTGTTGAAGAGACGTGACATGGAAAGACCCACACGCATCCCGACAGCTAGAATTTAACAAAACAAATGTAAAACTGAGTGCTTTAAAACCTATCACACAAAAACATTTGTACAGTATCAGAATACTTCATTTGGACTCAGAAAGGTTTGGTCAAGTGTGAATAATTATTAGTTGCAGTTCTGTTATCAATATAATAATTCAATATAAAATTTAAGCAAAAAAAACAAACAAACAAACAAAAAAAAAACAAAAAAAAAAACAGCACTGCCACATGTTGTACACACCAGGGAGGTCCACGGAAGTGGCTGGGGAAACCAAAAAACAATATCGCCGTTTGGGGTTTTCACACAAAAAAAAAGAACAGCAGAGCCAGGAACACACAGGTGAATAACGCAGGCAGGACAGTGGTCAGTGTCGCTGACAGGTCTGGTAACAGACAAGAGGTTTGCCAACGTTGCTGGAGATTACAGGTACTCACAGGTGAACAGACTGGAGGCAGGAGAGTAAACAGCATTGAGGTAAGGAGACCGAGTCAGGGGAGCTGACAGCTTCGCTGGCAGAACAGGAGCACACAGCAGGTAATGTGGGACAGGGGACACACTAGCGTCACTGGGAATTCAGGAACTCACAGGTAAGAAAAGGGACAGGTGGTACAGCATAGTTAATGTGGGACAGGGGACACACCAGCTTCACTGGGAATTCAGGAACTCAGAGGAAAGAAAAGGGACAGGTGGTACAGCATAGCTGGCCGAACAGGAACACAGCAGGATATGCTGGGACAGGAGACAGAGCCAGTGTAGCTGGAGGAGCAGAAACTCATGGGAAAGTTGCCTGAAGCTGGAGAGATCACAGCGTCGCAGGGAGAAGGTAATCAAAAAACTGGAGAACGGAGTCGAGTAGCAGAGATTCACTTCGTCAGCATCATGAATAACGTTAACGAACCAGCGAAAGACAGAGAAAGGAGGAGGTATTTATGGGCTGTGGACTGGGAAATAATGAGCCGCAGATGAAAAGACTGAAGGGTGATTGTGAACTAAAGCAAAGCTGGGGCAGGTGAAGTGACACAGGGCAGGAAGTAAACCAAAATAAAAGCTCCCAGAACCAGAAAATAAGCAAAAACATAACAATAACTGTTAACATTTATGAAAAAACCCTGAATAAAAAAAATGTAGAATAGAATCTGGATGCCTGAAAGGCAAAGGAGGAAAGGAGGAAAGAGACAGACAGGCAGCCGAGATGGGGGCGTCTTTCTTGAAACCTACTGGCTGGTGTGTGGGCCGGTTCAGATCAAATTAGGCACAAATTATGCATGTCATTTAAAGCAGAAAAAGAAAGTGTAGATATGCTAATTCATTTCTACTTTTAAAATAACACAGCTGAACAATGCAGCAGAGCCCACACAGACATGGACAATCACCATCTCCCTGTGAGCACAGAGATGCTGAGTGACAAGCCCAGGAGCTTGTGCATTGGCAGCACAGGAGCAGAGGTTGTCACAAATCACAGCAGGGCCTCGAAATGACTCTCTTCAGTGCTGGTGCAGCTCCTGAGCAACTTGCATGACAAAGCAAGTAATAGGCTGATTAAAAAATACAACAACAGGTTGATCAACTGGGGCCAACAACATCATGTGGGTCCAGATCAATACTGTGGAGGGAGTTGGTACACTTCCATATTTGTTTGGCAGGTGCAGCTGTGGAGTTACTGACAGTGTCTCTCACTGTCACACCTGTGGCACCTGGCACAGAGGCAGCACAAAGTGGCATGCCCAAATGTGCTACAAAACCACAGGATGTTTTATTTGAGGCTTCGAACAAGTGTGTGCAGGTCAGGCTTGACCAGCAGAGTGTATATTGACGTGGAGATGGTGACACGAAGCAATCATGCCACAGGTGAGTTGGATGCAGCTGATGAGTAGGCTCTGGACAGTTTCCAAAAAAAGCTCCCAGTGTCTTGGATTAAAAACAAAACAAGGTATAAAGTTCTGGCTGTAACTGGTCTGAATGTCTGTGGAAATACTGTTTTACCTGGAGATGCAGACTCTGTTAGGAAATGTCCCAATTTTCACACAGAAAAGCAAAGAAAAGGACTGACAAGTTATTGTCTCCAGCCCGAGAGAGGGCATCTTTTTTCCACTTTACAATGTGAAGCATTACACCTTAGTCTAGCACTATAACTGGCTCATAAGTGGTATTTGGGAATCGTAGACTAGATAATGAACCTCAATTGAAAATTGGGGGAGCTAATATAGAACGAGTATAAGAAATTAAATTTCTAGGTGTCATAGTTGATGACAAATTCTCCTGGAAATCTCATATCAGATATGTTCA